TTGCTGGCTGGGGAATTCTGGGAGCTAAAGTCCACACATCTTAAAGTTGCCAAGTTTGAAGAACACTGCTTTAGGTTGTGTCTCTCACCTAAGCCTACCTGTTGCAAAGTTAAATGGGGAAGGAGCCCAGATGCCATTCTCAGTTCCTTAAGATAGAATTAAAAGGGTCAGATATGAAGTGTCCTTCTTACCAGGAGTTTCTCACAATAGACTGCCCTTTCCCCAAAGAGCTGAACATCACTGAAAAGGTCTCACCTGCCACGTTAGACTCAATCTCTGCAAGTTCAGTTACCATGAAATTAAGCAAGACTACTTGGATTCTGGCTGGGTCACTTGAGTGGTGCTCAGAACTGGGTTGGGACGCTTGCAGAAGATATTGCTGTGAGCACAAGGCTTGCTGACGGAGAACCCCACCCTGGTGCCAAGTTCAGGATTACAAATCTGGCTTTCATGTGGCTTGCTGCCAAAGTGTGCTTTGAGCAAGGAGCTCTATCAGAGCGAGGTTTTATTGGGGGGAGGGTGCTAAAATACTATTTTAGGGGATCACTGCTTCACACAAGTTTCAGAACCACTTGGTTAAGCCAAAGACTGTTAAGATGGCCTCTTAATCTTGTCAGCAAGGGATGTACCTGAACCTCCCTTGGACACCCCTAAAGGAGAGGCCCCAAAAGATTGAGAACCCCTCACTTAGGCCAAGAATAACCTTCTCAAAGTCATCCAATAAGCTCTATGGCTGAGACAATTCTCAACGTGGGGGTCACCTCAGTCTCTGCTCAGTTCTCCTCTCTAGGCTGACTAGAGATAATTATAGAAATGTTCGCATATGGATTTCACATATATTGCCCTGACCCTGCTATTCATAGACCTACACAGGAATCAAATCCTCCCCCCTCCTCAACCCACACCCACCCTTTGGCTTCAAGATTTCACTTAAACCTTGCCCACATGCTATTAAGCGTACCAGTAATTTTCTGAACACTTCCTTTGATGCATTTTGAGAATAGCAGGTCTGGGGCCTGCCAGGTCTCATTTTAGGAATTAAGCATTGAAATCTTCCTGCGTGTATTTACTCCCATTCTTGTGTCCAGACACTTGGGAACAAGAACCTTGCTTCCTCACCTGCTTTCAAATAAAATCAGATAAACTGGCAGGTCAAAAAGGCACGGAAGCATGGACATTTGCTGATTAGGGCTGAACGATGAGGCTTTATAATTTGTTTATAGATACGAGATGAGATATGGGAAGAAGAGATCTTTTGTTGAAATATCAGAGGTGGTGGTAAGTTACTGAAACTGTTTGTACTTGCCTTGATGAAGGGGGAAGTCATTTCTTTCTATATCTTTTTCTTTATTATTTCTTTTTCTCTGGATTTTTTTTCTTTTTAGATTTTTCTTAGTTTGTATTAATGTTTTTATCTTTGTATCTGTAAACCTCAGTAAAAATAGCTATATTTAAAACAAGGCACAGAAGCATGGTGAAAAGAGAAATGTTGAAGCCACATCATACACCTTTTGCAAACTAGAAAGCGACTGCAACTGAACGCATTTATTCAGTGAGCAAAGTATTTTTATTAAACCAGCTGTGCACAGAACACATACATTTCCCAAATAATTCTGATGAGATGGGGGAAAATGCTCAAGGTGTATGTGAACTTCTTTAATTATATATATAAAACAAAGCATTTGGCCTCTGTCTCTGAACGAGTACAGCAGAAAGAAAAGGCATATATTGGCACATCAACTCTAACTCCAAAGGTGTTCAAGCTGATCAGGAATACAAGGCCACATAGCTGCATAACATATGGAATTCCCTGCAAATGATTTGAATAGGGCACAGACAGCTTTATATACAAGGGAGGGAAAACATATAAAATGAGCCTTTGTGTTACTTACAGGGATTTTAAAGAGAGCTCTACTTATCAAGTGGCAAAATAAAGCGTACAGTAGAGGACGTTAGCTCTATTTCACTGAAGCATTCTTTCCCTTCCAAATATTCTTGATTTCAGCATTTCCAGGAAAGACACACCAAATTTGCATAGCTAAATTGGATTTTAATTGCATCCAGTGTCTGAACTGCTGTGCAAGACCTAAAGCTGGATTGAGGGTCTCTCTCACTGTTGGGTTTTGCTCCACAGACTGAGTTGCAACCAGCCCCTATTCCTATTTTTGTCCTTTCCAAAGTCTTTTAGCAAATGGAGCAGAAGACAGAATCAGAAAGAGGACAATCCGACTGGAATTCTGACATTCCCGTAATGCCCCCCAAAAGATTCCCCCCATCCACTACATCAGGATGACTTCTAGAGGAATTATCAGACGCGAAGTCAACCTGACAACCTAGACCAAGGTTCTAAATTCCCTCTCCCATCTGAAATGTAACAAGAGATACAATTTCACCCACCCATTTGTATCTGGCCTCCGAATTTAGGCCAAACGTTCCATTTGGAATACTTCCACCCAACTCTCCAGAAAATTAATTCAATGTTGGTCAGAAACTTGTGGGCCAAGGGCCAGTTTTCATAGCTAGGATGGTCACATCCCACAATGTCATCAAACTGGAAGGAAGGTCCAACTGGTCAAAGAAGGAATTGCAGCTCCCCAGAAAACCAAGGATAGGTCAGGGAAGATCATGTACAGGTAGACCTCACTTAACGGCTGCCCTGTTTAGTGACTGTTTGAAGTTATGACAGCGCTGAAAAAGTAACTTTACAACCAGTCCTCTCATTTACAACCACTGCAGTGTCCCACAGTCATGTGATTTGTTGCTTCACTGCTGGCTTCGAACAAGCAGCGTCAATGGAGAAGCTAGCAGTAAAATCACAAGTCATGGTCATGTGATGTCTCGCTTAATGACCAAATGGGAAGTGACTCATAAGTCCATCACAGTCACATGATGTTTCGCTTTAGCAACTGTGTCGCTTAGCAACAGAGTTTCCGGTCCCAATTGTGGTTGCTAATAAGTGCAATTGTGCCTGAAATAAGATTTGACTCTTACTTTCTCCTCTCAGCACTGGAGACATTTTTCTTGTGGTTCCCAGCCTATAAATTCATTGCTTGCATATTCATTCTATACTGTAGCAAAAACACGGGGCTCTACGTATTGGAAAAGTTTGTACCCAAGCCTTAATTCTACTATAAGAGGAACCAAAGCTTATTATTTTACAAAGTGAGAATTCCCTCTCTGTGGCAATACACCCTCACTTTCACCCAGCCACATAGTTTGCTCACACCAGGAACAAGCAGATAGTAAAACAAGTCTGTTAACACATACTATGATGAGGGCATGAAATTGATTTTTAATTGTAAGCCTCCCCAGTGTTGATGAAACATTATTTTTAATAAGTAAACTTGTAGTCCTAGCTTTCGCTCTCCTGCAGGTAAAACTAAGAAGAGTGATTTTCACTGGGACATGAGAATAAGTTACCAAAACTTTTGATATCTGAGATAGGTTTTTACAAAATGTTGATCCTATATAGACTATGGGGGTGGGGGCAGATTCGGTACTGCCCCTAACAAAATGTAAAAATGGAAGGTTTAACAGCAGCTAAGACATTTGACTGTGAAAATAACTTTAAGTCAACATAAGACACTGAAGAAAGCAAATGCAAATCTATATTAAAAGGGGGGGGGGGAATCACACGCATACCTAAGATCTAAGCACGAGCAGGAATCAGAGCAAACATTTATATATGGTTGATCTCATTGTCCATTATTTTAAAAATCAATCCAAAATATGCAAACATGTCCTATACATAAATTTGCAATCTGCAACTTTTGTGGATTTCCACAACCGTGGCAGAAAATCTTGGCAAAGCGAGTTGGTAGTAAAGATCACAACCAAGGCAACGAAAGGGCAGATGATGGGGCAGAGTAATATATTGCAATGGGAAGCATTATTAAAGTTAGAGAATAAAAAATAATAACCATGCAAGATACAATTTCACTTCCAGAGACTGGAACCACTCAGATCCTGCCTCTCCATTTCTGGCATCTGAAATCATGACAAACAGAACGGTAACTTCTAGCCAAAAATTAAAAAAAAAAAAATTGGAGAGTATCGAAACCAAGATCGCTGGAAAATTGTGCCAGAACAACAAACAACCAAAAAACCCACCCCAAATTTTGCAATCGCAAAATGGACATTTAGAAATTTACCCAGAAAATAAGCAATTGCAAACTGCATCGCTGTGTGTGAGATTTTTTGCATGCTTCTGTACAGCTTGTATAGTCTTTGGCATATAGACTTTGCTTTGGGTCGCATCTAACATTCTTTAAGAGGAAGAAGCATAAATTCACAGCCTTGAAGTGATGCTGATCATTATTCTACATGATGTCTCATCCTCCAGAAGGACTAGAAATTAAACTTTTTAGGATTTTTTTTTCAACCAATGGGGTGCCATTATCGGACATCACCCTTCCTGCAGACTCTTAGGGCTTATCGACAGAATCAACTGCTTTCCTGCACCAGTGTGCACCATTATTTTCAGGCCACACTAGGCATGTGAATGACATTTGAGGAGATCCATTCCAGAAAGCAGACTGCAAGAATAAGCAGAGTAGTCCAGGCCAAAACCTAAACTAAATTCAAGTGTCATTAAAATCAAGCTAATTAAATACAATCCAGATGATTACTGCCCATGCATATCATAATATTCAACAACATTCAGGATTTCAACTTGGTGGCCTCTTTTAGAGCAGTTGCACCAAGGCTATGGGAGGGATGCAGGTGGCTGTGGAACAGCAGGTTTGGGGAACCTGGGGCCCTTAACTACTTAACTCTCAGCATGCTCACATTGGCCATGTTAGCCAGGACTATTGGGTTTGTAGT